TTGCATATTGTTTCTTGTTTCAAGGCTATAAAGTGCGCAATCCATCATTAGCAACTAGGACCATGTAGTTTGAAGCTCTGTTCTAGGTACAGTATCGTGTTAGGAATACTGTTAGGGTAGTGGTAAGAGAGATTATTAAGAAAATAGAGGTATATTAGTCTTTAGCTAAGGAAGTTAGCAGGAGGTGGCTATGGATAGAGTGAATGGGAAGGGGATGAAAGCAAGAGATGGTACTTTAGGCTTGAGAACTCAAGGGGAGGTTCCAAGTTCCTCTAACTACTTGGGGCAGCTTTTTGTATTTCCTTTTTCTAGAAATAATCAATATATTTCTTTGGTTCCTATCATATTAATGTCAAATATATATATATTTTTTTTGATAAGAAATGTCAAATATATATATATTTTTTTTGATAAGAAATGTCAAATATTTTTTCTTTGGGAGAAAAACAGTTTTTCCATTGTCAAAGCAGTATAAATACAAAATAGGGGATAGGACATCCATCCAATGGACCAAAGGGGTCTTACACAAAGCTACTTAAGTTGGCAAAATCCAAAAATGCTGTATAAACTACAGAAGTTCTTAAAGGAGGATATGATAAGAAGCTACGGATCTTCCTAAGTGGAAAGACTATAAAAAAATCTGTTGCCATTTCCTTTTCCCTGAAAAGATATAAAATTTTCACGAAAATAATGGAAAAGTATCAAAGAGAAGTCAACCCTATGCTATTGGAAAGTTGTTCACGATTAGTTGTTGAGTGGCAGGGGGCTTTCTTATCCCCCGGCCCTTATGATTCTGTTTTCTAAATTAAAAAAAAAAAAAAAAAAGTCAACCCAAAGGATTAAAAAACGACCACTTCTTTTAGTTGCAATCATAAAAGTATTATAATTACAAAAATGAGGGGGAAAGCTAGCTCAAACACAAAATGTAGGAAGGTAAATTGTTTTGTCAGATTAGTTGAGGTGCACGTAAATTGGTTCAAATACTTTGTTACGGGAGAGTACACTGTACACCAATAGGATCCTAAATGTTATCACAACTCTTGCTACAATCTTAAAAAATGTGTTGGTTCCTCTCCAACAAAATTTCCAAGAACCATTTTTTATGCAGAAAGTTATCCTTGGTCTTGCAACGTCATGCTGAGTATTTTTCTACTGTAACTATTCCATTTTACTAGCACTTCATTGTCATTCTCTTTTGGGATGTAGTTATTGTCCTTATCTAGCGGCCTCAAGTAAATTATTTTGATTGTTCAATATTGCATGAAGGATGTATCTTTCTATTCTCCACAATTACTCTCTCTGTTTTTTATTATCCATCTTTTTTCAGATGTTTTTATTTTTGTTTTCCAACTCTTTTATTTTCTTCTCACCCTCATTTTTGTTACTGATCTCTGGTTTGGTTTCTGTGAAAATTAGCTTCCAGCTTCTAATAACAAATAATTTTAAGCTCCCCTTTGACTAACATTCATGTTGCTATGCAGCTCAAGTTAGTGTCAAAAGAAGATCCTTGGTCAGACAGAGTTGATTTTTTGATTGAGGTCGTGGTTTCCTTTTTCGAGAAGCAGCAGTCTCAAAAGGAAGCTATCAATGCACTTCCACTTTACCCAAATGAAGAGATAATGTGGGATGAGAGCGTTGTGCCAAGCATTAATTACTCGGGTGAAGGCTGCTTGGCTCTTCCAAAGTTAAATTTACAGTTTTTAACACTCCATGATTATCTACTGAGAAATTTCAATCTCTTCCGCCTGGAATCAACTTATGAGATCCGTGAAGATATTCAGGAAGCTGTACCCCATCTCCTTGCCTACATTAATAATGAAGGACAAACTGCTTTTCGTGGCTGGTCGAGAATGGCTGTTCCTATTAAAGAATTCAAGATTACTGAGGTAAAGCAGCCAAATATTGGGGAAGTTAAGCCTTCATCTGTGACTGCAGATGTCACTTTTAGCATTTCCAGCTACAGAGCCCAAATAAGATCTGAATGGAATGCTCTTAAGGAGCACGATGTTTTATTTTTACTTTCTATTAGTCCTTCATTTGAGCCTTTAAGTTCAGAGGAAGCTGACAAGGCTAGTGTTCTTCAACGTCTCGGCCTTCAGTGTGTACGTGGATGTGAAATTATTGAAATTCGTGATGAAGAGGGAACTCTCATGAATGACTTTACTGGGAGAATTAAACCGGATGAGTGGAAGCCTCCTAAAGGGGAGTTGAGAACTGTAACTATTGCTTTAGATACAGCTCAGTATCATATGGATGTCAGTGCTATTGCAGAGAAGGGTTCAGAAGATGTTTATGGGACATTTAATGTCTTGATGAGGAGGAAACCCAAGGAAAATAATTTCAAAGCAATACTAGAATCTATCAGGGATCTTATGAATGAATATTGTATAGTTCCGGATTGGTTGCATAATATTCTTCTTGGTTACGGGAATCCTTCTGCTGCTCAATGGACTAACATGCCAGATCTTTTGGAAACAGTAGATTTCAAAGATACATTTATTGATGCCGATCATTTGAAAGAATGTTTTCCGGATTATCAGGTTATTTGTCTGTTTTTATGATTTCTTAAATTAGTGAATTAACACCCCTGCATCTGGTATATAGTAGAAAGCATCCGTGTCTAAATGTGTTATGTTCATGTGTTCAGGTCTGTTTTACTGATCCAGATGGTGAGGAGATTTTGCACCCAAGTCCCCCTTTCCGGATTAGACTTCCTAGAGTCCTTAAAGGTGGCAGTCATGCCCTTCCAGAGAGCAAGAAGTCTTCAAGTGTTCCAAAGAATGATGTCAACATGATGGATGCATGTGGTGAGAAGGAGAAGCTTATAGTTGAGGCGTATACACCTCCTGACCCTGGTCCTTATCCTCAAGATCAGCCTAAGCAGAACTCTGTCAGATTTACTCCAACACAGGTTACTTTTTAACTTTTTGCCTATCTTTTTTTTTTTTCTTCTTATTCATGCAAAACGTTTTTTAACTGGTATAAAGTATTAGAGTGTTGAGCAAAACTATTTTCTTGAATAAGAGCAGCCGATCTATTATATGGCTTTCAATATTGATGCTATTGCTACCTGGAAAAGGAAGAAACAAAATTAACGAGTTCCAAGATTCTCAAAATTTTTCTTGAAATTTTGAATATTATTGAAGAATGAAGATTCTTCCATTTCTAAGATAAGATTTCTCTTAAGGATGWCATGAAAATCATCAACCTATGGAGTTTTTGATTTGTTCTTTAATCTGCAGCCACGTAAGCTTTGAAGGAACTCCTTTGATCTTTTAGGGGCTGCAAACTGATAGTTAAATAGCATAAAACTTCACGAAAATTAAGAAAAGGGGCAAATGCAGAAATGATAATCGGACTACGCACTTCTTCTGCAAAAAATACACCAGCTAGGGCTCGGGTAATTTGTTTTGATGCCACCTACTGTGAGTTTACAAGAAAACTTTGCATTTTTGTAGGGATTTGAGCTTTCCTTATTTTCTTGCAAAAGCAAAGCTCTATAAGTTAGCACCTTTAGAAGTCAAGTCGTCATCAATATTTACATTTTACATGCAACAATTTTAATTTGCTAATAATGAGGAGATTAACCTTGCTTCTTTTTAAACGTAGGTAGGAGCAATCATCTCTGGTGTTCAACCTGGGTTAACCATGGTTGTTGGTCCACCTGGTACTGGAAAGACTGACACGGCCGTTCAAGTCCTAAATGTTCTTTATCACAATTGCCCTTCACAGAGAACATTGATAATCACTCACTCAAATCAAGCTTTGAATGACTTATTTGAGAAGATAATGGAGGTAAATGAATAAAATTAAGCAGTTACAATTAAGTCACTTCTCCTGTTCATAGCGTGAATGTTTGTGGGCACTCCAGTGTTCATTTTTATATATAGTCCATAATTTAAGCTATCACGGTGCACATTATTTTGAATTATCTAACCTTTTTCTGACTTCTCTAATGGTCTCAGAGGGATGTTCCTGCCCGTTATCTCCTTCGTCTTGGTCAAGGTGAACAAGAGTTGGCAACTGATCTTGATTTCAGCCGGCAAGGGCGTGTCAATGCGATGCTTGTGCGAAGGTTGGAATTGCTAAGTGAAGTGGAGAGGCTGGCAAGATCTCTCCAACTTCCTGAAGATGTTGGTTATACTTGTGAAACTGCCGGATACTTTTGGTTACTGCATGTGTATTCGCGCTGGGAGCAATTCATAGCTGCCTGTGCCGGAAATGAGGATAAACCAAATTTTGTTCAAGAGAGATTTCCCTTCAAGGAATTCTTCTCAAATGCACCAAATCCAGTTTTCACAGGTGAATCTTTTGACAAAGATATGTGGGCAGCTAAGGGATGTTTTCGTCATCTAAAGACAATGTTTCAGGAGCTTGAAGAGTGTAGAGCTTTTGAATTACTCAAGTCCACAGCTGATCGTGCAAACTACTTGATGACTAAGCAGGCAAAGATCGTTGCAATGACTTGCACTCATGCTGCCCTAAAGAGGAAGGATTTTCTTCGTTTAGGTTTCAAGTATGATAATTTGCTGATGGAAGAAAGTGCACAAATATTGGAAATTGAAACTTTTATTCCAATGTTGCTTCAGAGGCAGGAAGATGGTTATGCACGTCTCAAACGCTGCATTTTAATTGGTGATCACCATCAGTTGCCACCAGTCGTGAAGAATATGGCTTTCCAAAAGTACAGCCATATGGATCAAAGTTTATTTACAAGGTTTGTTAGATTGGGTATTCCTTATATCGAACTCAATGCTCAAGGTCGAGCCAGGCCAAGTATAGCCAAGCTTTACAACTGGAGATATAGAGAATTGGGAGATCTTCCCTATGTAAAGGAGGCAGCCATGTTTCATAGAGCAAATGCTGGATTTTCTTATGATTATCAGCTAGTGGACGTGCCAGACTACCAAGGGAGGGGTGAGACTGCTCCTTCTCCGTGGTTTTATCAGAACGAGGGGGAAGCTGAATATGTTGTTAGTGTGTATATTTATATGCGTTTACTAGGGTACCCTGCAAATAAGATCTCCATCTTGACAACTTACAATGGCCAGAAACTTCTAATCCGAGATGTTATTAATCGTAGATGTGTACCATACAACTTCATTGGTGCCCCTAGCAAGGTATCCCCAAAATGGTTCACTTTACGTGAGCAATTACATTATTTGTTTGTTACCACATACGATATTTGTTATTGGGATTTTGGTTTTATGGTTTAACCTAAACAGTCTTGGACATGGATAAACTATCCTTTCTTCTCCCGTAGCTTAGGGTTCTATCAACTATATGTAACTGTGTCCATTGGGCTGTGGAATGCCTCGTGTTCCTTATCATGCATCTAATCTTAAAGTCCCATTTTGCATATCACGCAATCACTTATTAACAGATCTCGTTTAATATTTGAATCCAGGTGACCACAGTTGATAAGTTTCAAGGTCAGCAGAATGATTTTATAATACTGTCTCTTGTTCGAACCCGCTTTGTGGGGCACCTTCGAGATGTTAGAAGATTGATTGTGGCCATGTCTCGTGCTCGGCTTGGTTTGTATGTATTCTGCCGCCGGTCTCTGTTTGAACAATGTTATGAACTGCAGCCAACATTTCAACTTCTGCTTCAGAGGCCTGATCGCCTTGGTCTCAATTTGAATGAGATAACATCTTATACTGAACGCAATGTTGCAGACACCGGTCCTATTTACCATGTTAGCGGTAGTGAGGAGATGGCCACCATTCTGGAACAGCTTTATCAGGTATTAGATACACTTAGTTAAGCCTGCTTTACCAGAATGATTACCTGGTAGTTGAAGTTGGACTAGGCTCCAAACCATATAAGTTCTGGTGTTCTTGTCTATTTTAGAGGGGCATTTAGATGGAACGGAAGATAAGGATACAGTTTTGGAGGGTCATAATATTTGAATTTTCTGCTGCTATTTTCTTTCTTTTTTAAAGAACAAAACTTTTATAAAGTGAAAAATACCATAGGAGATCACCAAAAAAACTCTCCAATTGGGGTTAATAACAAAAGAATCATGATTACAAAAGAGAGAAGAATATGCTCCAGTAAGAGGTATTAAAGTGTGATAACATTTTCTTCTTTCTCGTCGAAGATTCTGGAATTTCTCTCTCCACGTCGATCAAATTGAACTTTTGTTCCTGATTCCCAAATGGCCTGGGCTTTTGGATTTTTTGAGAAACCATCAAGTTCAAGGATTTTTATAAAGCTTTATTTTTCCTTTTTTCTTCTTGTGGTCGAGAATAGATTTGTGGGGGTGTCCTTATGTGATTAATGTGGTAGTCATACTGATTGCTGAACTTTCTCCATGCAGATCCGGATCAGCAGCCAGCAATTTGATGGGTATGCCGCTCATCCGGGGCAGCTCGCTATTAACGATGACATACAGCAAAATGCTATGGATACAGAACAAGCTGATGGTGTTGCAGGCACCACCATGGAAGCTACAAAGACCAATGGTCGTGTGAATGGCACAGATGGAGAATCTACACTTGAAAATGGTTCAATTGGGAATGAGGCTAACGAAGACGGAAAGGAAGAACCTATGCTCGAGGATAGTTCAACCCGAAATGAGGATAATGAGGCTAACAAAGATGATGGAAAGAATGAGGAGCCTATGTTCGAGAATAGTTCAACCCAGAATGAGGATAATGAGGCTGATCAAAATGATGGTAATATCGCACCACAGGATAGTAATTCTGATGTAACAACCACAATGGAAGAATGATATTGCTTGAAGTACTTTTGCTGATGGAATTGCTTTTCTAAAATTTGAAAAATACGATTCACGTCTAATGTCGACATAAAGATGCTGTCTCACCGTTGGATGACATTGGCAATTTGGGAAGTTGGACTAACAGAGATGACTTAACTTCACAGACGATCAATGATTCAAAACAAGTGAGAATTTTGAGCTGATCAATCACTCTCCATCTTGCTGTCCAAAAGACATATCTTCAGTAGARGCACGATATCGATACAGACCATCCTCAGGATGAAAGATGCCAAGCTGATTGTGGTTTAATCCCATTTCTGGCTATGCTCAGTATTGGGTGTTGTGTACAATTGACTTGTAAAAATTTACATTTAAGCTTTAATTCTGTAGCATCAAAGTTTTGATTTTGAAATAGAGTAGCATGAGTTTAGAAAAATGTCGATTTGGTAGTCATCTTATCTTTGTGCATTTGATTGAAATTCTACATTCACAGCAATTTCTCTCTGGTTTCACTCCGATTTTGACTGAACCATGCAGTTATTTATTTTGTATGATTTTTCATTTGTAATTTAATTATTTCTTTGGATTATTTATTTAATTCATTTTTAGCTACAGTAACTTGGTTTTTATAAGAGGTTTGGTCAAAATCTTTCCTGTCACTTTTGCCCCACTAACTTTTTTCTCTTCCACTAAACAGGCAAAATCATCCTTAAGTTTTTAGGTTATTTTTAATTTGGTTATTGAATTTTAAAATTTTTTAATTTTGCTTAAAACTTAATAGTTTTTTAATCAGGTGAATTCTCAACTAAGTTTATTAACAAAAGTTGGATACATTATCAACATATTTGAATATATTTTCAACCAATTGCGAGTTAGATCCACCACCCGGACATGTTGTACTAAAAAAACATATTTGAATATGTGATATTCTACTTTTGAAATAAATAATTTAATGAATTTAATTGTGAGAAAAGACTTAATTAAGAGTATTTAATGGTAAAATTGAGAATTTCAAAATATTATTTTGATCTCAATCCTTTAAGTTTTGGTTATTCTAGTTCACGTACTTTCAAAATTTTTATTTTGTTTCCTATACTTTTAATTTGGTTCATTTTAGTCGACTATACTTTTTAAAATGTTTTTCAAAAAGTAACAATTTTAGTCTATATTTTCAAACATTTAACATAAATTATGCACATAATAAAAATAATTTAATATAAAATCACAGGTCAGTGTTATGTTGAAATTGATGATAGAAAAATGAGAATAAAAATAAAATTAAGAAACTAAAATAGTACATTTTGAATACAGTAACTGAAAAAAATTAAAAGTAAAATAGACCCAAATAAACTAGAGGTGAAAGTACACCTGGAAAAAGAAATTTTAATAGGGTTTACTTCAAAAATCAGGACCGAACCTTGAAGGACGGTTGAAATCGGACTGAACCGAGTTCAGCTGAAATCGAAAGAAAAAATCGATTTGTTTAATATCCGGTTCGGTCGGTTCTTAATTTGGACCAAAACCACATCAATTTTCTCTATCAGTATTCACAAGATGATTCTGGAGAGAGAGAGAGTCGTAGGGAAGGGACTAGGGTTTATGCTCTGTTATCGAACATTTCAGTCTTTCGTTTGCGTAGGCCTGGCTCTGATGACTCTCATCCTTTGAAGCATTTTTGGTATGGAGGAGGAGGGGATACGAACGTCTACTAATTCGTCTTCTTCTGTGAATCTTTTGCGGACCGTCTGTCACGTGTATGGTTTCCTCTTTCGGAGTTACTTCCATGGTTACTACTTCAAATTTAATGCTTCTGTGATTAATAATGCAGGTGCCACAAGCAATTTTCACAATATACATGTCCCCGTTGCAATTCCCGTTACTGCTCCCTTCAATGTTACAAGGTTCATATAACTGCACTCGGTTTCATTTTTAGGATATCCTTTAAGCAAATATGGGTGAAGTTCTATGTTATTAGTGCCAGACTTGAATGATTTGTTTGTGTTAATTGGTTTTGGGTTTGCAGTCTCATAGTAACCGTTGTACCGAATCCTTCATGCGAGAAAATGTTGTCGAGGAGCTGCGGCAATTGCGGACGGACGATAGTACTAAACGTAAAACGCTTGAAATTTTGAAAAGGTTTCATTCGGAAGAGGAAATGGAAGACTTGGATGAGGAGGATGGTATGTAGTTAGAAACTTTGGTTTGTTTTAGTTAGTACTGAAAGTAGATTTTTGGGTTTGTATCTTACAGCAAGTGATTTAAAAAATTGATTCTGGGAGCAGTTGGAGTTGTTTGTTAGTAGATTCTAGCACTTAGTTGAGTGGTGCTTTGCTTGCCTCTCTAATTGAGCTAAATAGTGGGTCTTTATAGTGGCGATCAGAAATGATCCGTATCCATTTTTCCTTCTATCGAGTTGTTTTTCTGATAAATTAGAAACGAAAATTTTCTTTTTTCTGGCTATAACATGATTAATGCCTTCTTGTGCCTTCTTGCAGATTCGACTTTATCCGAGGAAACTATTGAGAAAGTTCTTGCAGGTATGTTTCTCCGAAGTCATCACTCTGTCTTGCTCAACCTTCTTTCAATGCTTTTGAATGGATTTTTCAACTCTTCTGTTTTTATGACGTTTACTTATCTGTATGATTTCTATAAGTTCAATTTTTTTTAGTTTCAACATCATCTGATTGGCATTGATGAAAACAGATTTTTCTTCCTAATTTCTGCAGGTGGCCAACTCAGTTTTGATGATCTGTCTGCAGAGGAGAAGAAACGGTTCTTAAGAGCTATGGCATCAGGTGAGTTGAGCAAGATGATTGAACCTTGGGAAGCTTGGTGGATGAAACCTTCTGCTAGAACAATATCTCTAAGCGAAAAAGGAACACCACTTGTTCAACTCCATTCTGAGCAGGAACCAACAACTTCATTCTCAAGTGGAATTCCTGGAGGACCCTTTGCTCAATTACCTCCAGTTAGCAAGCTTAGTTCTGCAGAGCCATCGCCGTTGTTGGCTGTTCACCTGGTCGACATAATTTATAGTTACTGTTTCACACTTCGCCTGTACAATGGAGACTGGCAATCAGATGCCATAGGATCAGTTCTGGTGGTTTTGAGCGTCTCCTCTGTCTTGGGTCAAAGTGGGCAACCAGAAACAGTTTTAGAAGCCCTGTCATCCTGCTTGGAACAAACATGCTCTCCAGCTTATAGACATGTGGGGGGCTTGCAGCTTGGATTGAGTCTTATCGACGATGTCGAAATCCTGCTTTCTCTGGGTGGTCCCGCTCTAGTGTGCTTGCTGTGCGATTTGCAGAGGCTTGTTCAAGCTGGGGAAAGAGATTTGAAATCAGGAAAGAGGGGAAGAAAATCTAGATGGTCAGAAATTAGTTCTAAGCTTAAACTTGCTGACAGGAAGATCTTTTTCATCATGTGCTGGGTTTACGAGCAGCCAAGCGAAGCTTGGTCGACCCTGGCGAATATTGTAAAGATGGAGAAAAGCTCAATAATGGAGTTTGAGCATCATAAAATGTCTACAAAAATTGACAGTAAGGCCAAAAGCAGGGACAACAAAGTCTTGATACAGGAGATAAAATGAGAACTATGTGGATACTTCTTTTAATTATTTATCATGTATTTATTCTTAGCCTGGTGTATATTAAGGATCCATTTTTCCTTGGATCCTATTTGAAGAGTTCTTGGTTTATAGGGATTATAGCTTGTGTGCTCAATCCTTTAGAACAAATACAGAAAGAGAATTTGCTACAACTCTGATACAAGTTTTTTTTTCTTCCTCCCTTTAATCAATCAACTGTTATACAAGTGGCTGTGGTAACTTCTCAGGTGCTTACAAATTTGTGAACATCCATTTTCAACATTCCCAAGTGCAAATTTGTTGACATTCTCTTTTTGTTTTACTCTACATTTATGGATTTGCACTGCTAAAAGTTACATATAGCTTCGAGTTAATGTAATATATAGTAGAGAGACCAAAATTGTTTTTTAATCTTCAATGACCAAATTGTTACGATGTGTAAGAATAAGGTTTAAATTATTACATAAATGCACTTACCACAATAACTAACTACCTTGAAATTTTGCTGTTAAGTCATGAGTCATGACTGAATTATGTAGTTTATGTGATCTATTATCTTCTACTAATCAGTCCTCGTATTTTTCGTTAGATGTCGTCAGGGGCTAAATATTTGTCAAATAATTTTCCTTTTTATATTGTCTGGTTATTTCAGGTCTCAAACAGTTTGTTCATATTTTCTAATGACTTTCATCCTTATAATGTTCAAGTGTCAATATAATGAGAAGTGAAAACATGTGAAATGGAGAGATGTTTTCTCATCCACAGATGGATTACAGTTACCCTAGCCTCACCAAGAAGAAAATGCTACTGATTATCCACAGTATGTAAAAAACCAATCTAAAACAGATACTAATTTTTCTTCTCAACTTGCAACGGTAAGCGAGTAATCGACTTAGTGAACACCAACCAAATGATATTAGGATCCTACAAATTTCTTGATAATCAAAGGTTGCATAGTCAAGTAACTGTCTCGTGATATCGAAAAAGGTAACCGGCCCATCTTGGGATCATCAAGATGGGTAGTTTGAGCAAGGCGCAAATCTTGCAGTTTAGGAAATCCAGAACAAAACTGATGGAACATGAAGGTAGTTTACAAATCTGATAATATGCAAATACAAAGCTCGTGTATTCAGACATTTAAATGATTGTGCAAAGCTCCTTGTTTTACTTCCAAATTGTGAAATCATGTTGTTCATCAAGAAGCAATAAAGTTACCTGCAGCAACTTGTTTCAAACTGCACATAAATTGAAACGCCAGCTTTTCCTTATGCCTGAGGTCCTCTCCGAAGGAACGTTTTTAACTACGTTTCAAGATAAATTATAAGATCTCAATACAGAAGTTCCAAAAAAGGGCTCTTTTTCAACTATTTCGGAAGTATGGAAATTGTAACTTGTTAGTAGGAATTCACATTTGTATTTGAAGGGAAACTGAGAAACTGAATAAGTAAAATTTATTGCATCCTTAAGTACAATGATTTTATCACTGTGGTTATTCTGAAAGTGGGTTGAACATCAATTACAGGTTTATACTGAGTAAACTGAACATGAATGTTTATGCACAAAAATCTTGGTATAGTATATGCTATGCTGTTTAAGTGGCTCACCAGTACCTAAACTATTGAAACTGAAACAGCTCCAGCCGAACCAATAACTTCGCGATGGTTGATTTCAAACTAGAATCGCCTTTCTCAGCTAGATCAACGAGCACGAACGAAGTGGGTTCTCCATATTGGACTCTGTGCTCCTCAATTCTGAATATTCTCTCCAGTATCCATAATGCCTTCTGTTGAGCATCAATGTGGTCTGAGCCTAAAACTTTTAAGATGGCTTGAACACCAGACATCTTAACTATGTAGTTGCTTCCATTGTCACAAATTTCATCTTCCAAAAGGGTGGTGAGGGCACTGAGGACAGCTTCATCTACTTCTCTTTCTTTTCCTTCCAAAATTTGGATCATGGGAGGGACTGCATTGGCCTTGACCAAACAAAATGTGCTCTTTATGATGCATTGCCTTCCATGAACTTCACAAATTGAATCTTTTGAAGGAGGAACACATAACCACCTTGAGGTCCGGGATTTGCTGAGAGAGAGTGAGTTCTGTGACAACTGAGCTAGTGAAGTTGCTGCTTTGCTCTGAGCAACGGGCGAATCGCTTGACAGCAACTTCACCAGTAAAGGAATCACCCCTTGTTCTGCTGAATGAAGCTGTAATTTCCTATCAAATGGATTTGTAAAACGTACTAATAAACCCGCTACGCTTTCTGATAACAAAGATGTAGAAATATTTGAATTTGTCAAGCTGGAATTCATGATGGAAACCAAGGTGGGCACGAGATTTGCTTTTCTCAGCATATCTGTTATTTTCTTTTGAGTTACAGGAACATTGCTTAGTATACCAACTGCAAAGACTCTTTCAGACTCGGAATTTGTCGAGGTGATTATTTCCAGAATTACACTGATGTGGCTCTCTCCTAGCTCTTCTGGTGCATCTTTGGAAAGATTATAAAGCAAATTCAAGGCACCAGTCTTGATCTTAGGATTAGTTTCCATCAAAAAGGGAAAGAGAAGCTGGATTGCACCACTCTCCACCATTTTTTTCCTAACTTCAGCTGCACTAGGATGAGCAGCAATCCTATTGAGTGCTTGTAAGAGGTGATTCTGAATCACTGGACTTGATAAGTTCAGAAGTGAAAGCATTTGCAGTGCCATATCATGGTTAACCAGGATTGATTCTGATTCGGCAATCTTTGCGAGAATTGCGGCTGCAGGTTCTCGAAGAGTCATAAGCACGGAGGTTACAGAGAAAAGGAGTTGAAGCAGAGACATGACGATCCCCGAACCAATCAATCGCTGAACATTTTCCTTTAAGCTCGAGAGGCTTTGCAATGCGCTTAATGCTGATAACTTAGCTTCAAGCTTCTCGGCCCAGAACATTTGAACAAGGGGTTCAATTGCCCCTTCTTCTCCCAGTGAGGCTCTACTTTGTTCAGTGAGCTCCATCCTTGAAATTGCTGTTGCCATAAGAATCTTGTTCATGTCAGAACCTACAGACATGGAAAGAGTTATTCATGGTTAAGGATTCATGAATTGCTTGATCTCAGAAGGCCACAAATATCTCACTACTTTTATGAGCTAGGATGTTAACTCCTGAAACTTTATCTTATTATGCAACTAGCTCAAGACTGACAAATGCAAAACTTGTTTTGAAAAAATAAACAAAATGTAGACTAGTTAGAGTTTTTATTTTAGTTTTCTCACTTTACCTTCTTTCAAATGCTGCACCATTGGCCTAAAATAACCAGCTTCTGCCATATAAAGCACATTCTGGGTGTTCCCTGACAATACATTCAACAATTTCCTTGCATCATATGAAGCAATCTGGTCATCCCCATTCAGAATGGCAACCAACATAACAACACAACCTTGAACTCTGCCAAGCCGTCGCCGTACATTTACAAGTTCACAGAGGTCCAACAACAGCCCCACGGCTTCTCTCCTCTCCACCTCATCCCCAGCCAAAGACTTGGCTAATTTTGACAAAGGCCCCACATCTGCCATCATTTCCTGCAAATTATTGTGTATCAATGAAAGATTGAAGATAACAGTTTCGAAAAGGTTCAAAAGTCAGTTCCACCTATTGGTCTACCTTGATTGCAGGATAGTTCAAAACAATATATTGAAGTACTTGAATGATTATTGAACGATCCACTGATTTGCTTGAACCCAAACGATTCAGCAAGATGGAAACGATTCCCTCTTCCTTGAGCCATTCCTCATCAATATTTTTACTTTGCATCAATTCTTTCAACCCCATCGCGGCAAGCTTGAATTCATCATCATTTCCATACTTGAGCTGCACTGCAATGTCACAAACGTTAGTGCTAATTCGTTCTTCTTCAATCTCCTCGACTCTCAAATCGCAACCGAACTCAGTGGCTTGACTTGAAGTTGAAGTTGGACTGCAGTTCTCATTGAACTTCATGCTCATCAGTTCCTTATACAACTCTCCAATCTTTGCTTTGAATTTTGTTGAGACTTCAACAGTGGCAAACAGGACAAGGCCCAAAGACCGGCCAAGATCATGGGCAATAGTCTCAACATGTTTCATTTTCTGGTTATGGACTTCTATCAAACACTTGGCGCGCTTTATCTCCTTCTCAAGGGATTCAACTGCTTTTCTGATTGATGGGGTGTCCATAATCTTGTCATAGTCCCTCAAATCATTGAAAATTGGTGGGATTTTCTCCACAACCAGAGCTAACTCAGAGAACATCTCTTTCTCTGTTTCTGAACTCTTGGATATTGAAGCTAACTCATCTGTAGATGCTATTATTTCAGACACAACCTCTGAAAAGGTTCTGTTTTCAATCTTATTCACCTCTTTCATCTCCAAATTCAGCTTCATCCACAAAAAGAGACGAATAAATTTAACCCACAAAGAACAAAAGTAAGGAAATGGTTCAAAGGGTCTAAGGAATTCAATGAATTTAACGTAGAACAGTGTCTATATGGAAACTGAAAAATGGGTGGCAAGTTTTTAACAGGTGTGAGAGAATAAAGAGAGAAGAAGAAGAAGAAGATTAGATTAAAGCCCAGAGAAAAAAGACAGAGACTTGGAGTAGTTCTTGTAAGACTTTAAAACTTTGAATTTGGAAAATGTAATAAAACATTAAAACCCAAATCTCACGCACTGCACTTTTAGAATTTAAATTATTTTATTAATTAAGTTTAATATAAGATCGTCCGAAATATTTAGCTCCTTCTGTTTGCCCTTTTTTTAATAATTTAGTACTGAGGAATAATTCAACGGTAATTGAATTAGAGTATCTGAAAAAGTTTTTTAAATATTTATTTAAAGGAAATTAACAAATTAATTGTTACATTTATAAACAAAGGGAAACTAAATCATTTTAGGAAAAAGAAACTGAATGTCACCTCTAGCTTTTAATGATAAATTATTTAGCTAGAAAAGAAGTGATAAATTATGTTAAATTATTTAATTCCTGACTTTAAACATTAAAAATTTGTAATTATCATCATTAAATTTTTTAAATATATTTTTAGCCTTTTTATCTTCCAACTATTAATTTAACACATACCAATTGTGAAAATAATCCAATTTGTTTGTAGGCATATATCGTCCACTAAAATATCAGAATTTAAGTTCATATTCACATGTCAGAATTCAAGTTTATATTCAATATATTGTTGAAGTAATATATATATATTTACCTGATATATCTATTAAATAAGTTGTGGTTGAATTAGTGACATTTAAGATTATATATGGACTAATAAATTATTATTAGATAATTAAAATCTTAAAAAAGCTCAAATATTGAAAAAAGAAAGATCATTTTATATTTCTTTAGTAGAATAAAAAAAATATACTTTATTTTATGAGAAGACCGTAAATATGTTGAAATTTCTATGATAACTAATTAAAAAATATACGTCGTGAAGTATATATCCTCGAATAAAAATTTACAGATTCAAATCTCTAATCCAATATTAAAAAAAAAAAAAATAGGGGAGTTTGAACTTCCAACCTCAATAAAGAGAGTAGGTGCTAATTACCGTTCATATTGTCAGTACTTTTTTTAGAGACAAATAGCAAAGCAAACTAAGAACAGCAAGACAAACAATCCTCACAAACAATTCAAGTAAGTTCCATTGGACCATCTTCTACCCAAACTCGATGCAATCTTTGGTGAAGCGTCAAATGAGCCAACCAATGAGCCGCACCATTACCTTCGCGAAGAGAAAAATGAAAACTAACTAGTCACAGCATCGTCGGACGTTATAAAGAAGACAGTCCACCTCGAAAAGGTCATCATCCTCATTTTGCCAAGATCTGAATATACCATAATCGCATTCAATCTAGACGTTGTTAGTATCGTTGAACTTAAAAAAAAAAAAAAGAATGAAAAGAATATATGATTTTATTTTATTTTTTCTCTTCCATATGGTATTCATGAGTGGTTCGTGGGACTGAGAAAACTTCTAATCTTTGGAGTATTGGGAGGGAATAATCAGATACGAGTGGCGGACGGCTATTCCATATGCTGAATTGATTACCCAATTCTAAATATTTACTAATTTCTTTATTTTTCCGTCCCTTGTACGATGGAATGATAGTGATTCATCTTTGACCCAGTCTTTTTTTTTTCTTTTTCTAGATAATAATAATAATAATTGTGGCCTTGTTTCTAGAGGGACAGATCTTTTTTTTTTTCTCCCTAAGTTTAATGCGACAAGCTTTGGGGATCTTCCTGAACAACTAAGTTATGTAAAATACTTTAATAAATTTTAAATTTTACTCTTAAACTTTTAGTGTTGGTGTTGTAGCCAGCCTGTTAAAACTCTCATTTCCAGTGTGACCAACCACCTTCTTTTCAAGCTTTTGAAATAGTATATGTTACAATTTCGTCCTAAATGGAGATTTTATTTTGATGCTGCAAAAATTATTTGCATACCCTTTGAATTAAAAAGGATTAGAAAAAATAAAGTTTTTGCGACTACTACTTTCTTACGTAGTAGCTAAGCTTTAGGGTATTTTTTTCTTTCTTTTTAGAACAACATAGTTAGCTGCGAAGCTATTGCGTTGATAGGTGGGGCTTATCAATACCTAGAGCCATATGAAGGGAGGTATAGGTCTCGGTTACGTGGTCAAGATATCAACCTGGAACTATTGGAAATGTTTCTTTTATCAATTTCAGAGGTGGAAGATAGAACGGGGTCCCGCTTCAAATAGTTACCATGTAACTTAGTCTAAAGTTTTTAAAATTATCAACTGGCTTTAAACATTTGATTTTTAATTTTAACAAGCATTTATAGTTAACATTGTTGTTTTTTTTGGGACAAATACGTGTTTAATGCATTTTTTTCTTACATCAAGTAATATATATTTTCTAATAAAGTACAAGAAAATGTTATATGCTTAAAATCTATATAAGTAGATACTTTGGCTTACCATTTTAATAAGTTTTGATTTGCAAAATCTAAACTTGTAACTTTACAATAATATAAAAAATAAGTTTCATAAATTTGAGTTTATATACCACGCGAGGGATTAGAAAATTTGTCAGGTAAAATAGACGAAACTTAGGTACGATATACCGAATATAAGTTTGACTTTTTAATATAGTTTATACATTTAATTTTTTTAGCCAAAAAAAATTGTAAAAATTACTCTAAAATTTTGATGGATTTAAGATGTCAATACCCAACCGTAACACGAGGTAGAAGATATAGTCCTACAATATGTTTATTCAATTAATTTAACTCGCAACAATTTGAGATTTATTGAAAAATAAATTTATAATTAAAAAGTGCCACCACGAATTATAACATAATTATTACGAAAAGTCAAAAATAAAAATTCGAATTTATAAGCCATGAGAAAATGAAAGATTGTCCCTACCATGACACTATTGACCCACGACATCACATTAATCTGACCATATAAAGTTATAGAGCCAACAAAAAAAGGGAAAAATCCTTAAATTTCCCTTTCATTTTAATATTAATTTGATTTATATGTTTAACACTTTGTGTATTTATTGAACAAGTGGCCAATATACATGTCATTCTTGATATTATTGTTTTAGACCAGGATCATATAAATAGACTTAAATATATTGATATTTGCAGCTAATTTTTAAAATTCTTACGTGTTGAATGGCATAGGATGGTTGAGTTTGATATCATTTTATATGAGTAACTATATAATAGGAGAAGTTTGAGTTCACACATTGTTGACCTCAAATTAAAGTTTTTTCTTTTTCCTGTGTTCCTTCTTAAATTTTCAGAATTTCGTATAAAAATTCAAATCGCGACTTTTTTTTCCTACCATAAAATATTGAAAAAGTTTAAAAGTAGGGAGGAAAAAAAAAGAGAAAAGCAGAAAACAAAATTGTAGTGAACAAACTATCCAAACAAATATTTATTGGTCCGTAAAGTTATATTTAGAAATGCATTGTTTTATTATTTTTTTATTTTATACAACGTGTGGGATGGGAGATCGAACTCCAACCCTTTGGTTTGAGATATATGTCAATTACAGCTATACTCACTTTGACATGTATTGTTTTATTTTAGTTGAACTAAAAATAAAGAAACACATCATTATTATGGTTTTTTATTACGAGTTTCATTATTTTGTTACAAAAAAGAAAAAAAACTGTTAAAACCAAATAATAAATGAAAGAGTTAATTCAGGTATAGCTTAATGTTAAAACATTTCACCCATTGTTTAAGGGTAAGAAGTTCAATCTTTAATTTTAACATTTATTCTACTAAATAAATGAAATAGGGATAGAGAAAGAGAGGAGAGAATTTATTATGACTCCATTGGCCTGGATAAAATTTAAATTTAATTTATAATTAACTTTATAAATTGAGTTGAGTGATTGTTAGTTGACTCATCAAAATGATAATGTAACAATTAACATATGAAGGTGTTAAATATTATTTTCAATAATTTTTATTGTCCAATGGCATTTATCTTTCATCATCTTCTCCATTTCTTGTTTTTCTTATTCCTCTCTTCTAATGATATCGTGGCCTTTGCTTTGTTCATCTTCGAACTAAACATGTGTCTAAAGTTGAAGTGATTATCTAGGACAAAAAAATTGATCTCTCTCCGAGGTAAACGTAAAAGTTGAGTTTAAGTATAATATAAAACTTATTTTTAAACATTCAATTAAAAACAACACTCATGAACCCCAAAAATTATATAAAGTCTTATAAAACTTAGAGACCTGTTACGATGTTATATTAATTTAATTATTACTAGACCATTATTTTTTTAATAGTGAGGTCATGCTTCAAACTTCAAAACAAAACTTAGTTAGGGAAAGAAAAAGAAATAGTTAAAATTGAAAAAAGTAAGCCTTTATTAGTTCTGAATTTCCATTCAACTAAGAAAATTTCTGAATTTCCATTCAACTAAGAAAATTATGAAAATAATGATATAGTTGGAAATTAGAAATAAAAAGGAAAACGTAAATGACAAAAATTACTCAAAAATTTAGAATGATTTCAAAATAATAAACATATCACCCAAAAAAAAAAGAGTACTAGAGTTCTCGGACGCAGCACTAATATAAGAATATAATAGAAAACTGGGCCACCAAGGACAGTACTTACTGCCACGAAGCCCACTGAACAAGGCCGAAAAGCAGAAATTTAAACTGAAAAGTTGGAGGGGTGCGCCAGGCCTGGGCTGTAGTGTAAGGCCCAAGCGACGCTAGAGGGCCCCAGCAGCAAGCTGCTGTGGTGGGCCCTCCCCCTTAAAAAATTAATTTAATATCATGTGGGCCGATGGCCCACGTATCAGATATTAAACTGATAAGAACAGATACTACACTTGATCTTAGCCAAAAGGCCGAGAAAGGTATGATTTGGCGACGTCTAGCCCCTCCCCTTTTATAGTCTCGTTTTTGCTGCTTCATCCGGAAACTGGTCGATGTGGGACAAATTGGAAGTTTAGCTCTCCACCTCAACCTATAAAATGTGTCCTTTTCTAATTACATGAAATCGTATTTATTTTGTATTATTTGTATAAATTATCTTTTAAAAATTTGTAGATTTATAATTTGCTCCTCAAAAT